TCTCTCTCATATTTTCTGCTGCTCCTGATCAAGAGTACCCTGGGGAAGAGTGGGGGTGGAATGGCTCTCCACAAGCCATAATAGAAGAGGAGGTGCCTAGTCTTGTTATAATTTGATATGCATGGCTAGCTGATATACCTAGGAGGCCTGCCCTTTTCTAAAGAGAAAGGAGGAGGACTGGATGGGGGAGGGGGTTTGGGGATAAGGACTTGGAGGAAAGAAAGGAGGGGAAAATGAGATTGGGCTGGGAAAAAAATTAATTCATTAATTTAAAAAATCAAGAGAAAAAAATAAAGCTGAATCTATATTTTTTAATTTTTTAATTTATTTATTTTACATCCTGACCACAGCCTCCCCTCCCTCCTCTCCTTCCACTCACCCCACCCCACCTTCCCTCTCAATTAACCCCTCCTCTGTATTCACTCAGAAAGGGGCAGGCCTCCCATGGGCATCAGCAAAGCATGACATATTAAGCTGCCATAAGACCAAGTACCTTCCACTGTATCCAGGCTCGGAAAGGCAATCCAGCATGAGGAATAGGTTCCTGAGAGCCCGTCAAAGCACCAGGGATAGCCCTGCTCCCATTGACAGGAGTTTCACAAATAGACGAAGCTAAACAACTGTCACATATATGCTGAGGGCCTAGGTTGGTCCCAGGCAGGTTCCCTGGTTGTTGGTTCAGTTCTGTGAATTCCCATGAGCCAGGCTAGCCGTTTCTGTGGATTTTCCTGTGATATCCCTGCCCCCCTGACTCCTACAATCCCTCCTCCCTCTCTTCAGCTCAGCCTAGTGTTTGCCCATGGGTCTCTGAATCTGCTGCCTCCATCAGTCACTGGATGAAGGCTCTCTGATGACAACCGGAGCAGTTACCAATCCAATCAGTTCAGGCTACGCATCCACTGCTGCCAGGAGTCTTAGCTGGGACCATCTTTGTAGACTCATGAAGTTTCCCTTGTATCAGGCTTCTACCCTACTCTGTAAAGCCCCCCTTTCCAGTCATCTCTCCCAGCATTTTCCCCCTCCGCCCACCCCCCAACCCAATCTCTCAAGTTTCCATGCCCACCCACCCCCAGTCCAAACAGGAGATCTCCTCTATACCATCATCCCAAAGGGGTAATTGCTGAAGCTTCCTTCAAACTCTCCCATGTATTGCCCCCTTACATTCATGGCCTTAAAAAAAAATGTTGTTACGTGTATGTGTTCCTAGACCCATAAATGCAACCTGCTTATTTCTGGATAATGTTACCTATATGTATATATGTTTTCAGGGTTGACCCTTTGCTACTAATTGGTATGCTCTTACCTGGGAAGATGACTTCAGTTATGTTCTCATTATTCCTTAATTGCCTGTAGTTCTTTGTCTAGAGTTGAGGCCTCCTGAACATGCCACCCTATGTGTCTATTGGTATCATCTTTGTTCAGGTCATGTTTAGACAGATATGTTAGTGAGGCTTCATGGATGTAGCTTCTGATATTCATAAAAGACAATCTCACATCATGCTCCCTCATCCTCTAGCTTTTAGAAGCTTTCTGTCCCCTCTTCTGCAATGACGTCTGAACCTAAGGTGCAGAAGTTGTATTATAAATTTATCAGTTGGGACTGTGCTCCACAATTCTGCATTTTGATTGGCTGTGTTTTTCTGTAATGATTTCCATCTACTGCAAAAAGAAGTTTCCTTGATGAGAGATAAGAATGACATTTATCTGTGTGCATAAGGACAAATATTTAGAATGTAGTAAGGGATTATTTTGGTTTAGTAAAGTGGCAGTTGTAGTTCTCTTCCAAGATCCATGGCTTCACTAGCTCTAGATTTCCAGTACCAGGCATGACGTCCCTCTTGTTGAGTGGCCCTTAAGTACAATTAGAGAGCTGTTGGTTACCATCAAGGTATGTCTGCCAGTACTCTACCCTTAGGATTATGGTGTCATAATAGTCATTGTTGTGGTTCACAGCTATCACAGATGGGTAGGACAATTGGTTGATTCCCTTCTTTGGAAGCTTGCATGGCACCTTCTGGTTTGCTATTGTCCTTGGTTGTCACCAAGAGGTGAAAGGTAAGTGCCTATTGCTGAAGAGAACTCGCCTAAAAGCCTCTTCCCCTGAGTGTCAGTTATGTGGCTCTGTGTTATTAAGCAGTGCTGTTTACTGTGCGAGAAAAACCACAAGGCACAACAAAACCACTATAAGAGTTTATTAAGAGAAGAAACAGAGGGGAGTGCTTAGACCTATGAAAATGGTCATGTGGGCTGGGGAGATGGCTCAGAGGTTAAGAGCGCTGACTGCTCTTCCAGAGGTCCTGAGTTCAATTCCCAGCAACCACATGGTGGCTCACAACCATCTGTAACAAGATCTGGTGCCCTCTTCTGGCCTGCAGTCATACATGCTGTATACATAATAAATAATAAATAAATCTTAAAAAAAGAAAGAAAAGAAAATGGTCATGCAAGGAGACAGGAGGGAGGGGCCTGTGACCCACTTTTTATGGATTCCCCCGCACATGAGCGTATGGGCTTATGTAGTTATGGCACACCATGTGAATAGATTACATGATCACACTGATCACAAATTACGTGGGTTGTAAGGCCCCAGAATGACTAAGTGTTTTGTCAGAGCATGTGCAGTCATGGGGGAGTGGCTAGAAATTCCAACACTGAGGACCAATCAAGTAATCTTTTATAACAGCATTAGTTTCGAGTCACACTGGAAATATTTTTCCTACTCATTTTTCATGCCCTTGAATTTATACCTAAAATTATGCACCTTTGTGCTGCTAAGCTTTTACTTGGTGTTACTAGCAAGAATTACAGTCATTCTTGGTTCTTAGAGACTGTGGAAGACATACTCCTGTACAGTAATTGGGGAGGAGGTCTTGCTTTAACTGTGGTCTCCAGATAAGCATTAGCATCACCTAGGAACTTACTTCTTTGGCCCCCTAAACTTAAAGAACTCTGGTTTTGGGACCTGCAGCCAGCAACTGAACAGAAATCCTATAATTGTGACAACAGATGTTTTAATCCATGTGGGAAAGTTGTGGGAAGACTGTTTTCTTGCTTGAGTTCTCTGCTTAAAACTGCCATGAAGAGTAAGCATGGTTTTCTGAAGCTATTGGTTGGTTGTGCTTTTTAAGCAATTATTTAACAACATTAGTTAAATCTAATGATTATAGATGTGACTTCTAGAAAGCCTCCCACCAAATAGAATAGTCTACTTATGAAAATAGTAATGCTTCAGTCCTAAATTTTAAGTAACATTCATTTCACGTCAGAAAAAAGTTGGTGTTCTTTGTGTTTCTAGTTCTGGCTTTTCTAACTGTCCTTTATAAGAGGGTAAACAAAACACATTGTCGTGCTACTTACCTAATTATATATATTATACTTACATGCACTCAATAGTATGAAACCTTTTTCTCCATTTCAGGCCCAAACTGCTTTGCAGAAACTGCTGTCATCCCAGCTGGTAGAGAAGTGAAGACGGATGAATGCACCATATGTCACTGTACTTATGAGGAGGGTACGTGGAGAATTGAACGGCAAGCCATGTGCACAAGACATGAATGCAGGCAAATGTAGACTTCACAATACAAAACTCTCATGTTTTTCTAGAATATTTTACTAATGTTGACATTCTAGATGACTCTGAGAAATGTCAATCAAAAAGAGAAGACTTTGGATAAGGAGTCAAGGGAAATGGTTGGCACTTTCCTTTTCTTGGTAACAATTACAGCAAGAGACAGAAATGGATGTATTTCAAAACATCAATAAGAACTTTGGACATAAACTCCCTCTCTAAATAAATGTGCTATTTTCACAGTAAGTACACTAAAGTTCACTATTATATATTAAATGTGTTTCTATAATCCCTCTATTAGAGTCTTATATATTAAAAATGCTGTTGTCAACCGTCCTCACTGTGGTAGCCTTCATTCCATCATGGGGTGCTGGTGGTACCAGGAATCTTTTACACCTGCACATGCAATACTGTACCCCATTAAGGGACTGCAGAAAATAATGACTGCTTTATAGCGAAATCCTGTTCAAACGCTATTGAACTAATGCTGTGTATCTAAAGCTTGCCCTTAGGACACAATCTAATTCACATAAATAGGCTTCCATATTTTAATAGCCCATTTCTTTTAGCATTTCATCCTTACTCATTTGGGAAATGTAGGTATAAAGACTGCTAGCATACATTTCTTCAGTTCTCATAGTAATCCATAAATAAACACTTACATATATTTCATTTTCATTCACATTATCTATTTTACTAAGCATAACTTGAATTCATTCCCTGAGGAAGAAGAAAGCTGAGACTTCTGCATTAGTCCCATGAGGCTGGAGCTGTTCTAAAGCACTCTGCATGTGTATGGGGGCAGGAGATGTCTTTGGATTCTCTGGAGAATAGTTAAGGAAAGTCAAATTCCTGAACAAGCTTATGCCTGAAATATAAAATATGCTATAGACATCTCACATATCTCAGCTCAGTATACCCATACTGTTAGCTGAGGTAGAAGTCTGTCCTCAGTAATAGACAGAGTGAGATGATAAATCTGTCTTGCATCAAGAATAGTGTAGGTGCAAGTAGAATTCTTTGTCCAATTACGTTTAAACAAGGGAGAGCGAAGGCTAAGTACAGTCTTCCCTACAGTCATATATAATCTAAATGATCTTCATGTGAACTAATCAAAGCTGCTGTAAGTGTTGCTGATGGGGCGACAGTGACTGTGGAGAACTTCCCGTTTCATGAACCACATCAACACTTGGTATATGAGTGAGAGAGGCAGTCAGGTTCTTAATATGTGTAAACAAAACCAAAGTATCTATCTGCAACCTTTACATACATACCCCCACATTTATTTCTTCTAAATTTTAAAATTAAGTATCTATTACACAAAACATCTTGTGAAGACAAAGAGGAAATGAGGGTTGGTTTGTTCTCTTCCTGTGCTTTTATTCTATAGCATAACAGGACTAAGAAATTACACTCTACTATATTATAAACCCAATTAGAGGCTAGAAAATGAAGACTTCTACAAAGACTTACTAAAAACAGCATAGTTCATACACCCAAACCCTGCCAGTATATACTAATTCCAATAACTTATTTTTGAATGACAATTGATGCATTCTTCATATATTGAAAATTTGAATCATTATAATAAGTACAAAAATTACCAGGGCATTTGCATATGCGTATATTTTTATCTTGTTTTTGAAAAATATCTTGGGTCAGGTAGACTAGCATGTACATCAATTCATGAAAATACTCAGGGGTATTATTAGCTAGTTACTCTCAGGTACCTGTTTTCAGCTTTCCAAAACTTAAATCTTAGTGTGAAAGACTGTTAGGCATAATCTATCCCTCCATTATTCAACGGTAGATTTTCTTGAGACAAAGGTCATATAAGGTTAGCATCTTGCCAACAGATGACCCTGTCCTCTTAAAATACATGGGCTACTGAGCTAGATGTAACTATGTACAACTTGCCTCTTCTCTCTACATGAGACATGGCGAATTACAGTTCCAGTGTATGGGGCTCATTTTTATTTGCCTTGGCAATAGGATCCCTACAGAATGGGAAATGGGCTCTCAAATTATTGCAGTGGAACAAATCATAAATGCTATGAGAATGTCAACAAATCTCATTCTTCTGCAGAGAAAGTGAACACAATGTGGTCTGGGGAATTACTTTCTTGATGTAAACCATTGGACCCCACACTGTCTCAGGCACATTTCTGGGAGCTGGAGCTCAGTGGCTGTGATTACATTAGAATAACTCACATCAACAAAAGACAAACGTGGATGAACCTTGGTTCTCTGCATCGCATATCCTAAGTAATGAAATTGGCATTATTATTTTTAATCGGAAACTGCTCCTCTTGCAGATCACTTAGACTTTCAGGTCTACACAGCTGAATCAGATCAATGCTTTTTTTTTTCTTCCCTGTGTGCACAAAAGTCTGCTCAAGTTTTCAACAGTGCAACATAAGCTAGATAACTTTAACTGCACAATAACTCGGGGATAGTATGAGTTCAAGTTATTTGATTGCATAAGTCTCAACATTCAAATACACTTATTTTTTAAAATGCCACAATTCTCTAAAGTTCTAATAGGCTAATTATTAGGGATTTATTCAAGTTTAAAAAAGCAGCTGTGCTTACAAATTAATTACATGAACTTATTCCCAAAATCCCAACCTATGTTTAGGTATGAAAGTATGAGCTGCTCAAGTGAGCCACAGAATAGCTCCAGAAATAATCCAGTATGATTTTTCAGAAGTTTACAAAGATAGTTTCTTTTGGGGGTTCATCCGATGTTTTAGCTTTCTAAACATGGATTTTGTTTTCATTTGGTTGTAGATCAGCCAACCCCCTCAGAACAGTTGTCTTTAAAATCAGCATGGGGTTATGGATGGACACAGTCTTCTATTAGCAGTGACTCTTGGACACGCAGATCCTTCTCCAAACTGTTCTAAGACTTTCAGTTTCTTTTCAGTACTAAAACGCCTCAGAATGGGGTTCAAGAGGACATTTAGATGGATTGTTGGGAGTAAAGAATTTATTAGGAAAGTCATTGATGCTGTGCACAGGCAGACAGTTGGAAACAGCAAGACAGGGCCTCTGAGGAATGATCCGTCCCCAGTACCAGGCAGACAACATGACAGGGGTCCTGGAGAAAGGAAATCAGAATCCAAGCAGCGGAAGTAAAGGTCTCGTAGTTTTCTGGAGGCGGGTGACCTGCAGAAGAGCACAAGTCACCAGCCAGGCTCTGATTCCTGTGCTGGAGGTAGGGAGACGGATGGGAAAAGGACTATGTGACCACCAATACCCCCATTTGATGTAAACTCAGTCCCCAAGTGACAGATCCTGGAACATGAAGTCTCTCAGCTAGAGACTCAGAGTGTCTCAGCTGGGCACCCATAGGAGTTTGTAAAAGAAGAAGGCTGCTGCATGTACTGTGTTCTGGGCAGCAGTGGTCACATTTCAATAACCAGCTCAAGTGTCATGACTTTTGAGGAGGATTCTGTAGTGAGTAAGGTAATTAGATTGCCATTATAAGTCTCTGGCACAGCACTAATTTGGTGTCCTTTTACCACATACTTTAAAAATTGTATCATAAGCCGAGAATGTAGGTGGCTAAGTGGAAGTGTGCTTGCCTAGCATGCACAAGGACCTTAGTTTTGTTTCCAGCATCACTAAAAGATAATTATACCAGTTAACAGCTGGGATGTATCTCAATGATAAACTGAATAATAGACATAAATCAACATAAACTGAATTGCTTCACATATAAAACGCCCCAGTTCAATCCACTGTAGTATTCAAAAAGAAGTTTGTATCATATAATAGTTAATTTTATGTGCTTTTCCTCTTATTCCCAACCCCCTTGCATTCACAGTATGAGGCATTGGCTTCAAGTATATCTACTAAGTGTTAAGTTCGGTTTACCGCATCACATACAGTCCACTCCACCTGTGTATCGAACAGTGGTGGGAAGCTCCCACTGTTGTTTGCTGCCCTGTTTTTGTTCTGTTTTGTTTCGTTTGTTTGTTTTTCAGATTTCTAGCACATTTCACACACTCAGGATATAGACCACAACCTCCCACCGATCAAATCCCTCACTGCTGTAATGGTTGAGGACGGATGTGACAATCAATTGCCAGTTCTGATCAAAGTCAGGACAAACTGCTTTGATGTAAAAGTTCTAACACTGGAGAAAGCTTCTAATGAAAACATGATGATACTCAAATAAATGCAATCAAGTTTACAGCTTTGGTATTTCCTTGTTGATACCATTTTTAAATAAAATGTCCTAGCCTAGGCTTTGTTTTAGGGTGTTGAGTATTTCTGCATCTCTCCGTGTTTCTGTGTGCTATGACTGAGTACTGCAGTTGGCTTCTGTGGACCTGTTGTTAAATCAGTGATCTGAATTGTACACACAGGAACACAGTAGCTCCAAGTGTGCTGGAAGAGGGTCTAAAAGTGATGACTGTTGATATTTCACCATAGTGTCAGACTTCACTCTCATTTGTAAAGCGTTTACTGTTTCTGCTTTAACACACACACACACACACACACACACACACACACACACACACACACAAAACTAGGTAGAAAAAAAAACCCTAATTTAAATGCCTAATTGTTAGCTGAATCAGTTCCATCAATTCTAAGTGATACTGACAATCAGAGTAAGAATATTCACTCAAAGATTCAGTAACACGAACACTTCTATGACAATGTGCTCTTAGTTCTGGGCCTAGTCACAGTTTATGATACATGAAATGCATACCTGGGATTCTATAACAAGGTCATAAACCCATAATACAGACACAACGATAGCAAATACAATCAATGAATAAACCTGAAGTCATTTATTAAATTATTGTTGTGGTCTGTTAACTAAAAATAATTCTAAATACATCCCACTTTAGTTAGAATTCAATTCTCAGAAAGTAGAAATATTTCCCAATTTTATTAATATTTAAAAATATTTTATTTGCTCACTAACATTTACTATTTTTCTTCAATTTCTGGAGTTTACATTTCAATTTGTTTCTAGATACATTTATGAAAATGTTCATTTCCCTATTCTTTATCATTTTACATTCTAAACTAAATGCAATTCTATTTTATTTTTATTTCTCTATCGGGTTATTTATTATCTTATTTATACTCCCAATATCACAAAAGTAGCTAGTACCATCTCCACTCAGGACATTCAGAAAGTTGAGAAGATGCCTAATGATTCAATCTAGTGAATGAATGGGCAAGAATTCAAGTTTGCTTTATGCCAGAACCTGTGACACAAAGTCTTGTCATTCATGCTTAGACAAATTACCTCTAGAAATGAGACACCATATCCAAGCTGCTCTTTCACCTATCCCCAAGGAGCGTAGAGAATGAATGGGCAGCCCCATGCTCTCCTAATTCAGCTGTGCAGTCCTGACACTTCCCAGTTAAGAGTCGCTCCTCACAAAGGTGTTAATGGCCTCGTTTTCTATCTGCCACATCTTTTAATTTCTGATCAAACTGTTTCTAAATGTCTTGTTAAAATAGGTTTTCAAACATTAGTAGATTTTTATGGTTTTGTGTTGTACTGAGTTTATAAAATATGGCCAAATTTTATAACCCTTTTGCAATGGTGACTTATTTTTCCTGCTGTGGCAAGATAGCTGACATAGACCATGTAAAGGATGGAATATTTGTTTTAGCATATGGCTTTACATGTTTTCTCTCATGGTTGCTTTGCTCCATGTGGCTCAGAAGGTGGTTGGGAAGGTTGTCATCTCCTGGCAGTGAAAAGCAAAGAAAGGAAATGACTAGAAACAAGGTGTGATGGCCACAGGCATGCCTCCAGGAACCTACTGCTTCCTTCAAGCCTCTCAAAGTTGCCAATGGCTTCCAAAGCACTTCATTCAACACATAAGCTTATGTCAGGCAATAGTCAACATGTAAGCCTGTGTGGGACACTCCATTTTCTAATCTTAATGAACCAGTATTAGCATTTTAGAGCTAATGAAGAAAACTATCACTTGTTAGCAGTCACTCTGTGGCAAATACTTCATTTTCAAACTTTAAATTCTAGCATCTGCTGTTATCACTTCTGCTGTGGGAAAATCTCACACTGCAGGTGCATTGTGCAAGTCTCAGTGTTATCGCTGAGGTCAAATCCATCTGAAAGCCCAGAAAACCCACTTTCCTTAGGAGTCCTGGTCAAGGAAGCAAGGGGCAGTGCAGCCTCCATGCAGCTTTCCCCCTGGGGAGCAGCTGCTAGCCTTAGTCAGTCCTTCATTTCATTCCACATGTAATAAGTGCACTTTGGGTTCTGAATCCAGCTCAGGCCAGGGTGAGTAAGCAGTGTATATTCTTTGGCTCCTTAGACCATTTACTCCAGCATACTCCCTAAAGGCCTTAAATCAATGAAAATAAGTGATCATGCCACATGTCATTCTTAACTTTTGCATTCAGGTCAGTACCTTACATCAGTATCATTTAAAAACAATGCTTTAGCTACCTTTTTATATACAGTAGACAGTGGTAAAATTGGAAGTTAACATTATATAGTAGCAATGGCTTATGAAAATTAAGTGCCTCTTCAATATGTCTTGCTTGCTTTGTTTTTACTCAATCCTATGAAACTTTAGATTAATACAAACTCATTGCAAAGGCATCCTGTCCATGTTACACACTGACAGGTTTATAATTTTAAGTCTGTAAGTCATAAAAAAACAACAATAAAAATTCTTCCCAATCAAAATAATGACAGTGACTGTGGAGGTAACTTGATTGGGATGGACCCTCCAGTACCAGGGTCCATGTCCATCAGCCATGGCCACATGTCTTTTTTATTTCTGGCCCAGGAATGTAATCCTGCTTACAATAAGTATGGCTTCAATAAAAGTTGTTGATAGAAAAATACTATTTTTATGTATTTTTTTGTAGGCTACATGTTAATTATAGCCAACTGATACATTAAAAATTCACACATGTGTATATAACCCTTAAATCAGAAACAGAAAAGGATTTCTATTTAAGCCAAGACTAAATGTCTTTAAAATATACAAAGTGGGCTTTTTTTTTGTACACTAAAGAATATAACTACAGTTGAAAGAACAAATCACATTATAAAGAGGAAAACAAGTGGTTACTTTTGGGGAATGGAGATGTTAAATTTTAGATCAGTACAGATAAGTGGTGCATTAAAATCCTTTAAACCATTGGCAAGAATCATTTGTGAAATTCAATAATATTAATACATACTGAGCCCCTTTGGGAAACAAACAAAAGTCAGTTTGGTGGGATGGGGTCAGAACTCAGCCAACAGACTAGAAGGCGTCACGAGGTTTTCTCATCCTTGGCCTTGGTCTTACTGCACATTTACAGAATCAGTGCCTCCAGAAACAAGGCCGGGTCACTGTTACAGCATCTGGACCATGAAGAGTCTTCATAATGTTTGTTGTCTCCTTGACTGGGTGTCTGAGTCTAGTCTATCACTCAGCTTACGCAGTGCACATTACCTACCTCTTTGTAACTCAGTGTTCATCTGCAAAATGGGATGAGAGCACCAGCTCCTGAGATGATTAAATGAATGAGTATTTCAAACATAGAATGCGATAGATGACATTTATAAAGCACAAGTTATACATTAGCATTCATTAGCTAGATAATTGGAAATTTGAAGAGACTGAGATTTAAAAGTTTTAGAGATTCTAATTCAGTGAGTATGATTTACATAATATCCTATTTTTTATCCATTCATGTGTTGTGTCTGCCTGGAAAATGTTTTTGTATTACTATAACTTTACATGGAGCTAAATTTATACCATCAGGCCTACTTTGTATATGTTGTTGGATGAGTACATATGTGAGAAACTGATTTACAAAATAAATTATTTATCAAATGCATTTCGCACTTCCAGGTAGAGTCACTTTTAAAATGTTTCTCAGTCTGTTAAAACACTTTAAGTGAGGTCAATAAAAAGTACTATTAAAATACCCCAAATGCCTCAAATATCATTAATGTATATAAAGTATTTAAATAAAGTCCTCAATATTGCCTCAAACACACATCATACTTTTACTTAGTATTTAAATAAATTATTGATAATTTACAGTGAAGTAGATCTACAATATAAACATGTCTGATGATATTGACTGTAATGAAGTGTTTTTACTTTGTCATTTCTAAAAGTAAATGTGGTGAACAATAAACCATGTCCAGAAGTCTGTACTAACAGTAGATCTCTAAACCTCACATGATTTTATTTCATCATATTTCTACTATGGCTTTTTGACAACATATGTTGAACACTTTTCAAACATAAATGAGAAAAGCCTGGAATAATGTGCCTGCCTGTAATCTCAGTACTCAAAAGGTGGAATAAGGAGAATCAGGAGTCCAAGGCCAACCATGGTTATATAGAGAGTTTGAGGTCAGTCTGGACTACATGAGACTTTATATATATATATTTACTATGCTTTTTTTTTCAAAATGAAGAACTTCATATACCTTGGAAGATTAAGTAATTTAGAGTAATCATCCTGTAGAGGAACAACTAATCTATAAAGACATTTTCTTGAAGTAACTGGAAAATTCAAAGCATAGGGGAAAAGTTATGAGACCAAGAGACCGGAATATGAAGCCTGATATTCTCTGCATTTTTGTCCTAAGTATGTTTCATGCTTGGAGTTATATGCTGAGAAGTAGAAGAACACATTTTGATATTTCATGGGATAAAAGTTACAAAGTGTGGTCAAAGTACATTAAAGATGTGCCTTCAATGACCTCCCCATATTTCAATCCATGCCCCATGAGCTGCATGGTACACAAGTAAACTGAAGCTTGGACAGGCCTCCCCTCAACAGCAGTCTCCATCTGAATCTCTGGATTACCAATGGAAATATCATTACAGAATGGGTGGGTCACAGTGGCCCCAAGGTGGTTACGGCCTCGTACTCTTTAAGGAGCTAGCATTGTCTCTGATCTGAACTTGATTTCATATGTTTTTGAAGCACAACATCTCACATGCTATCAAAGCTAAAAGGGTGCACGGGGTTATGAATCAATATGCACAAAGGAGCAGAAATAAGGAGCAATGGGAAGAGAGCCACAGGATCTCCTTAGGATAATCAGAGCTGGAATGCAAAATAATCATGTTGTATTCAAAGGCTACAAGACAATGCTGGAAATTTCAGCAGTAGATTAGAAACATAAACCACCTAGCAAAATTTAAAATAATCTAGTAAGAATTTTGAAAAATGACTAAAATTAATGATTCCACTGAAAGGATTTGACAGGTTATTATTTCAGAGCTTAACAGAATGGTGAATCAGAAGATGAGCCAAAGGCAAAACAGCCCAGGCAACATATGAGTGTCATGCATGTGGTGAATACAGGAATTGGAAAGGCAGATGAAAACACCTGACCGTCTTTTAAAGTAGGTGAACCACAATCTACAAAAGAACTCCCAAGGAGCAGCCTTGCAATGAACCAAAAAAAGTAAGTTGAAAATGCTCAACATTTCCAGAAGAAACATCTACAAAAATGAAATAATGATGTCAGCAGCTCATATCAAAAGAAGCCATGGAATTCTGAAGGCAATAAGCATCTGCAGCACATTAAAGGAAAAGGCGGCTGCAGTAGAATGGCACATTCAGACAGGTGAGGGTGGCTTTAAATTAATATTTATTGGTAAGAAAGTCTTAGTAGTCATCTCCATTTACCTCTTTCATATGTCTAGTCTTTTTATGTATGGTGGTTCTGTGTATTTTAAAGAAAATTGTTTTCTATTTTACTTGAAGGATGTGGATGTTTTGCATGCATGTTAGTTTCTGCACCATGCTGTAACTGCTGCTCTCAGATGTCAGAGGAGGGCATCAGATGCCCAGAGACTGGAGTTACATATGGTTGTGAGCTACCAGGTGGGTGCTAGGAATTGAACCCAGGTCCTGCAAGAGCAATAAGTACTGAGCAATAACCCCTGGGCAACCTTTCGAGCCCCAATTATTTCCCTTTTTAAATTTTTTCCTGTTTATTTCTTTGAGGTGCACTACAGATGTGCGACGGTGAGATGACAGCTTTAGGAGTCAATTCTCATTTCTGTCATGCGGCTTCCCCAGGACTGAACTCGGGTCATTAGACCTGGCAACAGGCACCTTTAGTCACTAAGCCATCTTGCCAGATGTACTATTTTTTTAATAGGTGCCACCACTGTCTGGCTGATACTTTCATATTTAACTGATCCAACAATTAGGAGAAAAAAAGACCATAATTTATAAAGGCCTGAGATACATGAATCTGACTTAATGAACATGTTAAGTCTTCATGAAAAAAATCACAGGATGCTAATGCTTCATGAGCACATGTGGATAATTTATAAGCAATGAACTGACACTGAGTCACAAGAAAGGCTCATTATAAAGAACTGACAGCACACAGATAATAAACCTTGATGACAGTCTGACTAAACTCTAACTCAACAAGAAGAACAAAAGCTAACAAATGTTGAAAATTAAGACACAATTCCAAATACCTCATAAGAAGGTGTCAAAATAAGTTATAAATCTTCTATACCTACTCAACAACAAAAAGGAAGAGAAACTATAAAAAAAATGAGGAATAGAGAGGACACTGGCATTAGATTCTACAGACAGAAGGAATATGGGAGCACTACACGATAGGAGACTTCAGCTTCTTCCAGGATAGAATGGGATTTGCTTCCCATACTTTCCTTGACTATTAAAATTTCTCGACTTGGCACAACAAAGAAAAGTGGAAAGATGGTGCCGGTGTTAAGACTTGGAACTCAAGGACACTATCAATAGTCTCAGATGATTAATCGGCCATTGGGCTCAGGGATAAAAAGATGAATCAAAGGACAGGAAAAAGATGACCTGATGACAGGAAAGTCAAGCAGCTCTGTGATAGTCTACTGAGCGGACCAATGATCCTACATATATAGAAACACTAAACAAGCCATGGGCTAGTCCAGCACTGGAAGAGGCAGCATGGTTGTCATAATGTCAAGGTTAGAAGTGAGGCTGCAAGAGCTAACACTGAAGACCGCAGAGCTTCAAAGGAACAACTAGAGGGTAACTGGATGAAAATTATCTGACAAAATATTTGATGTTAATAAGATTAACACCAGAACAGTTTGTTCTGGAAACATATACTAAGCATATCAGGAGTTCACAGACAGTATCCAGGGTATTCAGACGTGCTTAACAGTTTTTCGTAACGTTCTGTGGAATTATACAGAAGTTAAATAAAGCCTCTTTTAATAAACTAAAGAACTCGGGAACACCCAAGAATCTGAGTGAACATGTGTTCTTCATTTATTACTGACACACCACACAAAAAAGCCTAGATAACAATACTGTCTGAAGACTGTGTTTTTCATTTTTTAATATAAGGGACTCATACTGTAGCTCAGTATAGCCTAGAATTACTTAATCTAGGCTGGCTTCAAACTCATTATCCTTCTGCCTCAGCCTCCCAAGTATAGGGTTTCAGATAAACCACCATTGCTGGGTTAAAGAATATTTTGTAAACTGTTTCTATTTCACAGAGACAAGAACTGTGAAACAGACTTGTCAACTTGATGGATTTGAGTTTAAACATAAAGACACTCCTCTATGTATGCCCATGAGGGTGTTCCCCACAGGACTTTAAGATCCACTCTGAATGTGGATGGCACTATCTCATGGGCTGGGGTCTCTTACTGAATGGAGAAATTGAACCAAACACCAGCATTTCTCCATTTCATTCTTGACAGAGGATGTAATATGATCAGCCAACTCACAATGCTGTCATGAGGACTTCCTTGTTAGGATGGACTGTACCCTCCACTGTTGCCCAAAATAAGCCCTCTTCCTTAAGTTGCTTTATTAACTACTGTGTCACAGAGATGTAAAAAATAACTAATACAGGAAATTGGTACCAAGAAACGAGGCTACTGTGATAAAACTGACCGTGTAGTTCTGGTATGTGAGAATGAACATGGAAGCATTTAAAGCTACATGCAAGAGATGCCCTCAAATGCTGAGCTTGAAGTCCTACTCATAAGATTTCAGAGGAGAACAAAGACTCTGTTGGGACCTTGACAAGAAGCCATTCATGTTATACTCTGTCAAAGAATCTGGTTTTATCCTGCCCATGTCCTAAGAAGCTGAATGAAGCTGAATCAAAACTTAATGGGCAAGGACCAATGAGATGGTGCAGCCAGTTAAGGCACTTGTCGACAGATAATCTGACTTTGAGCCCTTGGACTAATAAGGTAAAAGGAAAGAACTGACTTCCATCAGTTGTCCTCTGACCAACACATACATGCCACACATGCCAGAGTGTGCTTGTACCTACCTTCATCTACACACAGAACAATAATAACAGAAGTTAAAAGCATACAATGGACTAATTTCTTTGGCGGGGGAAATTTTAGGACAACATAGCACTCAGGCTGTGGCACAGCTACTGATTCCAATTGTTATTCAGATCTATAATAAGATAGAACAGAAAGATTAAAACATGTGCACAGATTCAGAACTGGTTAAAGTGCTGAGAATAACTGAGTGCTCACCCATGAATGGGACACCCATACCATTCTCTACAAGGTTCAGTAAACATTGTGTATGGGAGCACAGAAAGAATAGGCTGAAAGATGAGGATGGGTGCGGTGGAAGCCTGTCTTCTGGACATGAATTCATAGCAGCTGTGGTTATCTACACAACACTATACAAGATTTGGTCTGTCTATGTTCCATCATGGACTGGGAGGGTCATTTTCTTCATTAATGTATACACTAGACAGTTTCCTGTGTTCCAATAAATAATACCCTACCAATGTTCATGCAAGAAATACTAATTAAACTCAGTGTCATGAAAATGGGAGTAACACTTAATGAAAAGAAGAAAGGGTACAATAGAAAGTCTGAAGAGAATAAGAGAGGGTAATGTAGGCTGCGTGAGCAAAATGCATTACATACACTTGTGAAATTATC